TTCCAAGCAGCAGTTTGAGAATGCTTATTTTGAACATTCAGTGTTAATGTATAAAGGAACCGAAGTGCTCAACTCAGTTTACATACTTTGTGTTCCTCTCATGGAGACTTACATTTTTACTAAATCATTTAATGTGTCCAACTGTGTAGTTTATTGACTATTGTTATGTTTTTCATCTGAGCTTCCTTGTCTAAAATGTTTTATATTTTAGTTTTAAATTGTAAAGGAAATTTTAATATGGGTCTCTTATTAAGAGTGTATTCAGAATGTTGGTCCCTATGGAATACAAAAAAAAACCTGACTAGATTTCATTGTTTAGATGAAAAGCAAATAGAGCCTGAGTGTTTACTTTTAAAGTTGTGAGGATTCCTGTTGTTTTCTAGTGCTTTAAGAGAAATAATCCTGGAGATCATTTGCAGAAATACAGACTTTCTGAAACTTGTGCATTTTCAGATGTAACGAAGGGCCCTGCCACCACAAGAGAAATCGTATTGAAAATTAGGTGAATGACTAAAGAGTGGCAAAGTAGAACAGGATGGGAAAAAATGCACCTTCTTTAATGCTCTTGCATTTTCTATGTTCTTCCTTTGTCAGAAATTGGGTATACAAAAGGAGCTGGATCTAGATGTCAGTTCTTAGGTAGTGGTATGAGAGCCACTTGGCTCCCTGCTTTATGAGAAAGGGTTACATCTGAGTCACTTAACTCCAAGCTGCTTTAACTGATTTAAATATTCTCACCATGTTGCTCTTCATTAAAGCTGTCTCGGATCAAAGGTCCATCTAACCTAGTACCTGTTCTACTGAGGGTAACATCAGACCTCTAGTAAAGATAGATGTCTAGTGTTGCCTTCTGGTTCTTGATGTAGAGAGAGAACTAAGGTCCAGATCCAGGATACTTACATGTGGAATTACACAGGCATTGAATTCTAGCATTTAATCTTCCTTATGCATGTTTTGGTAATCGTATCAGATCTTTTGAACAGCTGCTGCTTATGTAGGAATAAAATGTAATAACTTGTATTGAATGAAAGGCTGCTCTGATGAGAATATATTTCAGTGCTTAAAGAATAGCTACTAACTTCAGGGCAAAAAAGAGCATATTTGTATTTAAATGCTTTGAAGTATAAGAAGCTGCCAATTCTTATTTCCAGGAGCACAAACAAGGTCCTTTATTCCTTGGTGTGCAGCCTGTAGACCCTCTCTTTCACTGTCAGCCAAGCTCTTGAAATAAAGGTGAAGTCTATCACTGTCATAGTGAATCACTATATGCAATTTCCAGTATTGAACAAGGGGAAGGAAGCTGTTCCTGGTCTTGTGAAGTGAGACTTAATATGAATGGGACTTCATGATGTGACTGAAGCTTCACAGAAGAATGCAAAGGCATTGGGCTGCCAAATTCTACTAGCATTTGCTGAGGGGGAGTTTAGTTGTTAATGACACTGGGCAGCAGATGGTCGTAGAAGAGTTGTTAAGACACTGTGGATCGTACTGTAAATATGTGGGTGAATGGAACCAGGATGCTGACAGTTCATTCTCACAGCTCATCATGAGAAGGTGACTCGAGTGGAATTCGGTATTGCCAGAACATGAATTTCTTGGTATTTGGCAGTCTGATATATATCTGCGAAGAATTCTGCAACATAACAGCGGGATGGTAGTCAAGATGCATTTAGTTATGTAAAGTTTAGAACAGAGAACATGGGATGCCTAGTCAACCTTGCCTGACCACTGCTGATCTTTAGATTGTGCAGTTTAGCTACAAGATGAGTATAGGAGTTAATTTCAGTCTTCTGTTTTTCTTTGAATCCAAGAGAGCTTTTATTCATATTACAAATGAATCTGAACTGTTGAACCAGAAAATAAGCTGTTACAGGAAGAAGTCCTCTCTTGTACCCCAAGTCTGGTCTTGACCTACTCTTCTGTTTTTCTTTCTCATGAAATACTTCCAGCCCTTCCATCCAAACCAAAAACCACAATTGTGGATTGGGGCCTTTTATTTTGATCTAACAGGGTGAGGCACAAAGTATTTCATCCAAATCTTTTGATAAATTTTTAGCCTTTTTTTTTTTTCATCTCAGCCTGCTTACCCCTGCAGCTTTTAGTATGGTTTAAGGAAAATAATGATATAAAGTATCCTAAGTGTGATTCACAACATGAAATACAGTATATGGGAATTATACAGATATATCAGAAACTTAGCAGACAGTGTGCAAGGACACAGCTCCTATTGTTCACTGGGGACACTTACTCACACAAAGTAAATGTGCTCTGACAAAAGAAAACCAAATTAAAAACCTCTGATAAACTAGCCAATGGAGGTTGAGATTTTGCCCTGTGTCTGCAAGTGGGATGAGCAGGGAGAACTTGAGACGCTTCAGCTGTGTAGTAACCCACAGAAACTAGGGTTCTCTTTGCTGTCATCTTCAGTGCAAGTGTAATCTTCATGAACAAATGCCTGGAAGCCATTTTCTTCCTGTCTTGATGTCTAGGTGTCATCTTTTTCCGGGTAATTTCATGGATTTTTTTTGTTTTGTTTTTTTGTTTTTAAGATGACTGTCCACCTTCTTCCTTGAAATTATGTTTACTCTCTTCACAGTCTCCTAGCTTAAGTTAGAAGTGAGATACAAACTTAACAATTCATTTATTCCTAAGGGTGGGAACAGGCTGGTTTGGACAGGTATTTGAAAGGACACATCCACTAAATCAGTGTGACTAGCTCAAGGTAGCTCAGTATCTGGGTCCGGCTTTGTGCTTTGGTGTCACTTACTGTTTGGCTCTGTAAGGCAGCTTGGAGGATGCTTACCTCACCTTGTGGTCTGTACACAAATGCAGAACAGCTTTGCTCCTACTCCATGATGCAAGAGGTCATTAGGTAACTAAATTCACTGTGAATAGGACTGACTAAACATAAGGTGTCTGTTAACCAACACAGATTCAACACGGTATTGTTGGCTTTGCTCACATGAGGGTAGCACTAACAAATTGTCTCTGTAACCTGACAGCTTCTGTAGTCTGGCCTCACAGTAAAATCAAAAAAGTTTCATGGGCTTGTTCGTGTGTAAGATGTACTTTAGTTGGCTTTGAGAAATTTCAGTGTCTTGAATAACAGCTTCTTAATTTCTTTATCATCTTGTGATGGTGTTTAACCTGAATAATTGAAACACTGAATTGACACATAGGCAGCCAAGCCGACTGTGTGTTTGGGAAGTCTGGCCTCCTGAACGTCGCTCTTGTTTTGGTGTTCTCACAACAGAGCTCTGCATTATATTTAACATAATGTGTGATGTCAAATTGCACTGTTTTTTTCAGGGAGAGTGTAATCCCTTACAGTGCCAAAAAGGCCAAAACCTTCATACCAATTTTTTATTTATTACATCTACAGTGTAACTTCAGAAGAATTGTATTTGGTCTCTCTATTGTTTAGGCTTTGACTAAGCTAAAACCTGTATTTGCTAGTACTTCTGATTCTGAGTCTTGCACAAATGTATATGTTTAAGAAGAGCAGAAACATGGTTTGCCAGTCCATTGCATCTCATCAAAGTCAAATTATAAAGTCTAATTTCTGAAAGGAAAACATTTTAATACTGGTAATTACAGTTCTGGTGAAATATTGAGGCTGGAAACAGCTGAATTATGTCAATTAAAATCCTCAGTTAACTTCTGTTAGGGAATAATTTAAAACAACAGTAGTAGTACATTACCCTTTACTTTCTGAAGACACATAATTCTTGCTGTCATTGAGTGACAGATACGCATGGATCAGTTGGAAAATACTGCAAAGGGAGGTCTTTTAAATGTTCAAATTTGCCTTAGTGACTTTATAAAAAAGGTCTGCTAAGAATCTCCTGCAATGAATATGACCCTCAACAGTAATATTTATGTAGTGTAATTAGAGTGTTTGTTAGGGATCCTGTTATTGTTCACAATGTAATTAGACTTATAATCTAGTAAATGTGACATACTATAATGTTCTGCTTTGTAAACATTATTGACTCCATTTTAAGACTGAGATTGCCTCATGCCAACAAATAAAAGAAAATCATGGGCTCATAAAAACTTCTAATTATTTAGATGTGCACTCTATGGGTTCCTGATGTAGTTAAAGTTGAGACTGTACCGAGGTGAATATTGAACACAGGTGCAAGCTTCAGTGCAGGTGATTTGCCAACCTCCTTTTATGTAAACTTCAGCAGTCTGCTTAAATCTCACTAAGCTTAAGGGGGGAAAGATGCAAATCTGAATAGCTTTTTAACCTCATCTGTACTGGCATATTCATATTGTGCTTCTACCTTATTTTTCATGTGTCTGGATAATAATCAGATACTGATTTGTTGGTAATATAATGTAGCCATGGAAGTGTATTGATCAGTAGTTATTCTCTCATGGGAGGTAAGTGAAAATGAACTTGGGTGAACGGTTTATCTTTTACGGTTGAACTTTATTTTTGTAAGTTTTGCTATATCTTAAATGGACAAAAACTTGGATACTAGATTATTTAGGCAGTAAGCAGAATAGCCCATTGCTGAAAAGGAATTTTTATTTCATGTTTGCTGTTAAAGACCCTTAATAAAACTGTTGTTGGTATAACTACCTATTAATTTTTTTTTTTCAACTCAAATAATTAAAGTATTGAAGTCTCTTAGGCTTTGCTACTTTGAGACCTGTGTATGCTACACAAACTCAGAGGATATCCTGCTTCTCTCTGTTAGTCTATGAGCATTTGTTGTCTTTGTCTCTCTCTGTAGTGGTCTTTGTTAGTCAAGACATCCTACAGTACTGGTAGTAATTTTCTGAAGAGTCTGAAGTGACAGCTCTCAGTGTTGAGGACAGAGTCCAAATAGGAGCCTTTTTTGACATAAACTTTGCTTTTATTGCAATAGCTATGAGATGCTGTTTCTACTGTCAGCTGCTGTACAGAGCAAAAGACATGCTAGTAGAGCATCTGTAGTATAGGTAGCTTACTCTAGTTGTAGTCGCTCACTGTGAAAACTTTCCTACAGCTGTACCAGCAAACATCGCAGACCTGAGAAACATAGAAGTGCTCAACTTTTTCAACAACCAGATTGAGGAGCTGCCTACACAGATTAGCAGCCTTCAGAAGCTCAAACACCTGAATCTTGGGTGCGTATCTTAATGCAAAAATTTGCTGTAACAGAGATACTGTCAAATGTTGCAACTGAACCTGGAACTTCTTATTTTTTGTTACTAAAGTTTATTTTTGAAAGTGTTTGTGCAGTTGTGGCTTTGGAGTGTTTACCTAGTGTCCTGGATAATCAGATACTTAAAAGTGATCAAGCACTTAGTCTGGGTATACTGATAACCATTTAAGGGCAACAGCAATTCACATTCATCTAATCCTGAAGCCAAACCTAGCAATTATTGAATTTTACTCCCCTAGCAACAGTCCTTTGATTCTGTGGTTGCAGTGTAAGAGCCAGCCTCTAGTTTCTGTTCTGCTTTGTAAAAAAACAAACAAACAAAAACAAAATAAAACAAAAAACAACCCCCCACAAAACAAAAAAAAACCCCAACCAAAAAAAAAAAAAAAAAAAACAAAAACAACCAACCAACCAAAGTCCCAACAAACCCAAAGCAAAAACAACTCCACCCCAAAACTAAATGCTAATTTTTCCATATTAGTTCAGGACCTTAATTCCAAGGTCTCAAATTCGGGATTAAAGAAATTTAAATTTCTATTAAACCTGTGAAAGAAGCAGCAAATCTTTAAAATGTGGTGTGCATTTAATTCAGAGAGCTGGTATTGATTGAATTTGAGCTACAGGCATTGCTGTTAAGTGTTCACGTAGTATACAAGTTGATGATGCTTTATAATAACTATGGTTGCAGAAGGCTTTCTTGAATTATTAAGAAAATAAAGGTGAAGCACAGAACCTTCTTAAAACTAACTGGCCATATTAAAGTGTAACTACTTACGAAAGCACTGGGAGGAGAAAGCTTTAGATTTATAGGTTTCTCATAGAAAGACTTTCTATTTTATAAATTAAAACTTCTGAATATCTTAAACTGAGAATTTTTTTACTATTTTTAGTGCCAGATGATTTGGACTAGGCTCTGTGTATCCTGCTTTAGATACTTTTGTAAAGTGCTGATAAATGAATTGCATCTTGTACTTTTGGAATGCCATTAAATACTTTCATGATGATCTGTCTTCTCTGGTCTTTTTTTTTTGGATATTTTAGATCTTTAGCATGCCTTAGTATCCGTTTGAAAGTGGAATTGCTTTTCAGAGCAAATATTAATTCATGATCAGAAATGTGTGTATCTTGGGGATTAAATCCGTATTTTTGGAATGGCATAGAGAACTATTGCAGTGTATGGAGGGAGGAAGAAGTTGGGCTCCTTCCATGGATTAGAGCAGTGACAGGTGTTCATGTGGTTCAAATACTGGTCTTCATTAATGGAAAAAATTGTAGTGCAAAAGTCCACTGGAGGTTAAGACCAGCAGACATATAGGCACCTCAGTTGCCACCATGTGTCATGTGGCCCAAAATCTCTTCAAGTGCTCTTCCTTTTTAATCTCTTTACCTGTCTTCCAGGCACAGGATTTATAGCCCAGCCTTAGCTCTGCAAAATGGGCTCTGCTTCAGAGGTCTTGGAGTCAGCGAAAAGGGAACTGTTCTGCCCTAGTAGTTTGCCAAGGGACAGCCCAGAAACCCTCTTGTCGTCTGCAGTGCATGTGTACACACAGGGCATCAAAACAGTCCTCTTGGGGAGAGGGGAAGCTTGAATAAGAGCATTTTGGTGCAGAAGGATCATGTGGAGAGGCAGAAAGAGAGAAGATGTACTGCTGCACTGAAATCTTAAAAAAATAAAATTGCAAGGCAGGTGTGACACTGTTTCTGTTGCACAAGCTCAATGTTTGAACTTCTGCAGGGCCAAACAGTGCTAGGCAGGGACTTTCAGCTGGTTCTTTTTCTATGCCAAAGAATAAGTAACCAGTCTGCCTGTTGTCAATAGGGAGAACACTCTCCCTGTTCCCTGCTTACAGGAGGGAAGGCTGCCAGGGCCACTTACTCTTTTTACTAGCAAAAAAGGAGCTGCTTTCTTTAGTACTATTTGATACAAAGAACAGTTTTTAAAGCCGTGACGAGAATGCAGTAGCAATAATGGAGAATGCCTTTCTGTATTTTAATTGCTACTCCTACAACAGTAATACTAGGTGCATGTCCTTGGTAGGGCTTCTTATGGGGAATGAGGAGAGATTATTTCACCTAGAGTTTAGCTGAAGACCTGATCCCTACAGATTCTTCTTCTGGTGGGTGTGGTTTATGCAAAAGTGGGAGAGGAAAGGTGATTAGTACCTGAGAGTCTGTGAAAGAAATGCTTTATGTGCTTCTGCCTTTGTTCACATGGTTCTGTAGTCATCATGCTTAGCTTGGAGGTGCAGCTGCTCTTGTGTTTAATTCAGTGTCCAAACAACTTTCAGAAGATCAGCTTACTAACTGTCCTACAGATGTATTTTATACTATTTATCACATAGTACAGCAGGGGTTTGACAAATGTTATATGGGGGAGGGAAGGCCCCAGAGATTAGACTCAAAAGTCTTAATTATTTTTGGGTGCCCCAACTTTGCCAATACTTTGACTTGAGTTGTCATAGTTTTTAGTGTTACATCACTCTTCATGCATTTACATTACATCTCCTTTTGACTTCAGTTGTGGTGGCTATTGCTATTTATCACTTTTGCATCAGGAGGACAGTCAAATTCAGAATATCTAGAGATAACGTGAAAGGTCCAATTATCACATAAGAATAAAATCCAGTTCTTCAAAATAGCTACGTTTATGTGCTCTTCCTGAAGATGTGCATCTTCTCTGTTCTACTTTCAAGCCCAGGTGACAACTGAAGCAAGATCCATACATGCAAGCTGTATGTTTGGTGTACATGCAATAGGGACAGCATGAATAATAAGCTGGTAGCTCTTTTCTGTTCATATCATAAACGGCCAGAGCTGTAGCTCACACAAACAGTAAGGTTCTAAGAATATGGTCTCCAGCTCCTTGCCTCTCTTGTTGTAGCAGCTCTATACATTATCTGGGTCACCTTGTTCAAGCCCTCTGAGGTCACAGAAAAGTTGCTGTCTTCTGTAGCTTGTCTGCTCCAAGTTATCACAGAAACCTTTTGTCTGTTAGCTTTCCCCATGTTCTGACTGGTGCCAGTGGAAACTGCTATCCTAACCCTCTAAGACTGACTGAACGAGCTGTGTTTAGACTAAGCCTCATCAATCAGAGGACTGACATTTTATTTACTTCCTGTTCCATGTGCATCAATAGTCATCTAGTGACACAAATTTGCTGCTCTTAAGGGGTTTGAGCAGCAATTATCAATTAACATAAATACTGTGCAGTTGAGGTATTCTTCTTTGTATCTGGTACGGTGGTGAAGAGCTGTGTGGTACAGCAGAATGGCAGATGGTCAAGATGATGTGCAAAAGGGTAATTTGTAGTTTAGCTAGAAGGTAGGTCACGTACCAAGGACCAGCTTTCTCCATGGGACACTTGGCTGAGCATAACACTGGTACCTTTCTCCCTTGTGCCTTACATTTCAGGTGTAGCTGTTGATGGACATAACAGATGGAATCCCTTGAGTGCCTAAGTTTTGGGCACATTTGTGGGAGTGAGAGATAAAAGGTCTGTGTGGCAAAAGGCTTGCTCAGCATCTTGTAGCATCAACTCCCTTTCAAAATAAAGGGGAATCTTAGTGTAGATTACATTTTTTTTTAGAACTGAAACTGTCTGTGTTATTCCTACTAGATGAAGTAAATGCTGATGTCACGTTCTGTTTTTTTCCTCTTTACCTACAGCATGAACAGGTTAAACACCTTGCCAAGGGGATTTGGCTCTTTACCAGCCCTAGAGGTTCTTGACTTGACTTACAACAACTTAAATGAAAATTCTCTACCAGGAAACTTCTTCTATCTGAGTAAGAAACTTTTCTAAAAACTCTACAATCTTCACAATATGGTGTTTTGCTTTGTGCAGTTGAAATTTATTTGATGGAGACCAACCTCCAACAGAATTTCTCTGATATTTATGTTTCTCTTTGAATATCTCTTGAATATTTCTACATAGTTCAGCAATATTTATCACTGTTATACCATCACCTGACACCAGTGGACACAAGAAAACTGGATTAGTAATGATGTATTAGTTTTCTTCTGAGTAACATTTCGTTGGGTCTCATGCTCAGTTAAACTTAAAACTTAATGGAAGCTTGCAAGCCTCAGGGGAAAGTAAAGTGTTTTGCAAGACAACTGTCATGTGTTGATTCTAAAAATAATTGTGTTCCTGATAGTTTATTATCGAAATAGTTTTAACAGCATGTGGATGTTGAAGTGTCCGGTATGTTAAAAAGATATACAAAGTTTGGCACAGAAGAATGGTAGTGCTAAGCTAACCTTTGAACATATTAAAAATACACACTCAGCGAGTTAAAATAAAGTTATTGTAATGCATATGTGCAAAAGGGCTGCATTATGGTTGCCTAAGCAACTTGAATTCTGGCACTTTCTGGATTTCAGTGATTCTGCTACCTTACTGGTCTTCTCAGTGCATTATGCTGAAGTGGGTTCAGGATCAGTGCATTTCACAGCAAAAAGCGACAGGCGAGGAGAGAGGAAGGAGTACCGCGCTTCTGAGAGATTTTGTGATTGTAACCTGGCAGAGAGAAAGTTTTAAGTCAGCATTATTAAAAATAGTCACATTTAATAAAATGAAAAGAGGAAGAGTAGTAAACTGCGTAAGACAAATGGGATCTTCTCTCTGGTGGGAAGGAGAGGTTTTGCTGACCCGACTACCTACCTTACCGCTGCACCCAACAGTTCTTTGTGAGTCTCCATTTTAATTTTTTTTTTCCAAACGGTCATGTATGCTCATTCAATAGTAGCAAGCCACATGGTTGTACTGGGTCATTTATTTTTCTTTGAATTTTGTAGAGACTAAGCATGGAAATTACAAATTATACAATTTGAGTCTTCTGTGTTGCTCTCTTAAGTTCTGTTTCCTAGTGTTAGGCTGTACTTTCTGTACAGCTTAACATAGATGTGTATTTGTTCAAAAACCTCAGATGATTTTTTTTTTTAATGTTTGTTTAGGATGCAAATTGATGTAATAAATAAGTATCGGGGGTAATAAAGAGTAATGACTGTATTATGACAATTATCATTGTATGTAGCTGAGTATTGAGACTATGTGCCAGAACCTGCCAGAGTCTACTATTGTAGAAATTGTTAATTGTACAAGTCCTTTTGAATATAGATGTTTTCCTGAACTCACCAGCAATACAATAAGCCAGTAAATCTGAGTTTGACCTGCTTCTTATTATTGTGAGCCCTGGGTATGTCAAAGGCTTTTCACCAAGTCAGGATTATTAATCAAACCTGACTCCCTTTTATTGATTAGACCTCAAATGGTTGGGTTATATGCCACCCTGTTTATATATTGCTATTTAATTTGCAGCCACCCTGCGTGCACTCTATCTAAGTGACAACGATTTTGAAATCCTGCCGCCAGATATTGGGAAGCTCACAAAGTTGCAGATAGTAAGTAATTTATCTAAATTCTTGGAAAATCAATTCACTTTTGCAACGTTTGTAGGAATAGAATCTAGTCAATTTGAGGAGTAGTTGTATATGTTTGCAGGAATAGACCACTACACCTGGAACTGTTTCTTGTTTACCAGCAGACATTTGTAAATAAATTAGAAGAACTGAGCATTTAGGAGAAAGGTGGGGGCAGAGGGAGTAGAGTTCTGGTTTAGGCTGCTTTATGGTAACAGAAAATTGTTCTGACTATTTTAAATTCACTCTTAGCTGAGCCTTAGAGACAATGACCTGATATCACTGCCTAAAGAAATTGGTGAGCTCACTCAGCTTAAGGAACTTCATATCCAGGGAAATCGTCTTACTGTGCTGCCCCCAGAACTAGGTAAGATTATGGATGATCATTTATTTGAATAATAATGATAATGACGCAGTGTGTTTCCTCTGAAATGAAACCAGTTGTTACGCTATGGGAAATCATTGCACTGAAGTCGTCACTGCTGCTAATATTTACTTTCCCCTGAGAAATACTCACTTTCACTCCTACTGGATATGCAGGAGTGGCCAGAAGATCATGCGTGTTTGGTTTTATTAGTTTTTTACATGTTATGTTTTCCTTGTGTATTAGTACACCTGACTGACAATTTGTAAATAGCATCTTGCTTTATATACCATAGAAATATTGGGTCTGCAAAGTTATTCTTGTCTCTGGCTGAGTTTTGAGACACTATTTGGATCAGCCAATATTATATTAAGCAAAAATGACAGCAGTGTAAGTGGCTTATTTTGTGACTGTTCCTATAAAAATGGAAGTTTGATCAACTAATGTAAAATAGAGATGAATTAGAGAAATGCTTTGTTTTTCTGGTTCAGTAACCTTCCTTAGTGAGTTGACAGCTCTTTCACTTAAAGCATTAGATCTGCTTGTACTTTGAATTTGTGGTATTGGCCATTTAAATAGAAAGTGGCTTCTTTCAACCTATAAGGTAGAATTTTTCTCTGAAACTTAACTATTGATTTTGCTGAATGTGTATTGCAGTATTCCATTCTATGCGAGGGCCATTAACTTCAATAGAAGTTGTGCCTCTGCCCCAAGACAGCATTTGGTTTCAGATCTTTTTAAAGATTGTCATAAAATATTTTTGTTGGGAATAATGTAGCTGCATCAATTGTTGAAACACCTGTTACACAGGGTTTATTCCTTGTTTTTTGTTATTGTGGACTGTTACATGGGGAAGCTTCTTTTTCTACTAGTACCTTCCAAATAATAGTTTCCAAAACTCAGAAAGACAGTGACTGAAGTTAGCATGATAAAGCAAAATTATTTGTTGTCATAAGAACTTGTTTTGACCCATTACAGAATGTGGCAGCTGTGTGCATAAATGTGACAATCTGCGGTGTAAGCTTTTTTTTATACAGCAAAGGAAAATATCTGCTTTTTTTTTCTATGAGGTGGGGGAAGATGCTTGTTTTGACTGTTACTCATTTACTCACCATGATTTTTTTGCCTTTATCAATCTGGCGGACTGCATGATGCTGAGTGGTTTGGGTTTTTTTGTTTGGTTGTTTTTTTTCCCTTACCACTGGTAGATGAAAGTTGCTCTCATCTTAATTTCAGATGTTTATTCCTTGTCACAGGTATACTTTCTTTAGCTTTTTGTCAATGTCATATTTATTTATAAAGTCTTTCAATAGGAATAACATTTCAGAAGCATGTAGTATCTGTAAATGTACTTTAATGTAGCTTCATAAATTATAGCCTTTTTTTTTTCTAGAAAGTGGAAGTTAAATGCTGCACTGAGTCTAACTACCTTCTGTGGCTAATTAAATGTTCTAAACATGTTGCTGTCTTACAAGCATAACAGCAAATACAATTTAAATGGTTTTACCATCATTGGCCAAACTAAATGGAAATGCTTGAAACAAAATTCTTGAAGTTTATTTTGTATTGACCTGCAAAATTTAGGATGGCCTAGGGAAGCATTTCTCCTTTTAGTTAACATTTGTTTGCATTATAGAACAATATCACTGTCTGGTAGAAAAAGGACTTGTAATTTTGCCCCACCTGACCAAGATGAGATGCATTGACACAGCTTAAGTCCTTGTCATCTCTGTTGTTTATTACTCAAGTGCTATTCTATAAATTATACTTTTCATATATTAATTTACCAATGTTTCATTTTGTGGTCTTACCCAAGATCCTAGTTCATGATCAGATGGCATAATTTCTATTGCAGTCTGTGCTATGTGTAATGCTAGAACCTTGTCAAATATTTAAAATAGCCTGGATTTTAGGGTATATTTACAGAGAACATTACACTGAAGTCCAGATTTGCAAGTTGTACAAGATACAAGCATATTTACTGTGCAAAGTAAGGTTCTTGCTTGTTTATTAAACATCTAGGCAGATGTTTAGGGAAAGGATTTTAGTAAATAGAACACCAGGCTGGGCTTGGTGGAGGGGCTTGTTTGAGATCAGGTAGGAGCAGGCCACAGGCAAGCATGAATCTGTTGAATGGTTAGAAAAAGTCATTTTATGCCTGCAGCCCTGTTTTCCCTTCTGCAAACTAGGACAATTTAGAGAAACGTGCCTTTGCAGACAGTTTTAAAGTATGCCAATGAAAGGTGGTGTGTGAGTGTTACACCCTAGTGAATGGACTGCTAATTCCATAGTTGCCACCTGAGGGAAAAACAATTTTATCTGCTGAGTTTCCCACCTAAATTTTTAAAATTGTATTATAATGTAAGGAGAAGTATTCAAATGCTTTGTGTTGTGCACGTTGGATAAATAGTTTTTCAACGAGAAGGTACTGTTTGCATTAATTGGAGGTACTGCTGTTCCGCTTAAAGTAAACAATCTTTCTTCTCTCATTATTGCTTTCATAATTAAAGATGCTGAAGACTTTTGACTGGCTTAGTTCAGGCACTGGTGGACAGCAATGAGTCATTAGATGCTCATTTACCAGAGATGGGCACAATATAAACACCAGAATAAAACAGCGTATTTGAATGAGGAGAAGTGGAGGCATACACTAAACTGTTTTCTAAAGGTAATGGAAATAAGTGCAGAAGAAGGCATGGAGAGTAGAATATGAGAAAAGGCCACAGACAGGAATTGGGTTCACAGTTTTGGAATGGAGATACCAATAAATAAAACCCAGCAGGCTGCTCTTAATTTCACCTCATATGATTGAGTATGGCATGTACCAGTAAGAGGGCTGGGAGTGATCAATATCATCCTCTGCTGTGTGTTTGGCAGAGAATACCTATCACTAATTTAAGAAAAATACTTTTGCCCAGGAAGAAAAGAGGGGGCTAGAAGAATGCACTGGTGCTCTGGGTGATGGTGCTTGTCTGTAAATACAGTACATGTGAGTGATGAAGACAGGAAATGGCCGGAAGTAGGTGGGTGGAATTTGCAGCTTGTTTTTATCATTTTGTTTCTCAAAAACTCGTTCATGAGGAATGGTGGTGGGCAGTCATATATAAACTTTAAAGAAGCACTGGCATTTTTTTCCCTAGCATTTAAAAGGTTATGTGCTGCATTGCGAGACAAATAAATCATGATTCACTTCAACAGAGTTGCAGTCAGTTATATAAATTGCCAAGGAAGCACTAAATCTGTCACTTTGTGTATTCTGACCATTTAACAATTGGAACAGTGTTTGGAAAGAAAGCCAAGTAGAAACAAGAACCACGTAAAGTGGCAGATGCAATTAGTAAGATCAATGATGGTGTTTTAAGTTCATTATCTGGTCATCTGGGTGGACCCATATATGACACACAAAAGATTTTCTTAGTGGAGTCAGGAGTGTGAGAGTGATATATAGTGCAGAATATTCACAAAGCTGTAGCTAATGTAACTAGCTTATCTGTAGGTTTTCATTTTTGATGTGAAAACAAAATGATTTTTAAAACCAAGATTCTAATGTTGACTGTGTTTGTTACCCTACTGCCAACACACGTGTGCGCACACGTACACAGAGTTCACTTATGTTTGTGCATTTGGAGAGAACAGTGATTTCTAAGGATGCATTTGTAACTACCATCCTCTTTTTCCAAAACTCAGTGTTGGCATTAATGGCTTTTAAGTATACTATTCAATACTGTTCAAGTTTATCAAATAATTTCCTCAGATAAAGAGATACACTATCAAAACTGAAGTTAGATATATACTTGAAAAGTAGAAAATTCAAGCTTTTTAAAAAAAAAAAGGCAAAACAAACCAAACCAAAATCAAATAAACAAAAAAACCCCAAACAAACAAAAAAACCCAAACAAACACTTGATGGGGTAACTGTCCATGTTCCATTTTAAGGAGGGTAAAACATTTTGTAAATTAAATCTCTGTCAGAATGGTTAAGTAATTCTTTCATCATTTTTTAGTTTTGAACAGCTAAGTTATCTTCTGCAGATAGAGGATTGACTTTAAATAGAAGGTTGAAGGAATCCTGCCAAAAGTCTCAATATTTCCATTACAGGAAGACATTTTAAAATTTAGGCTTTTGAAATGACACTAGAATTTGTGAGTGAATATTACATTACACAAAGTAGTTGCTGCAGTTGTTTGTTCAAGTTAATATTAATCGAAATAGCGGTTTACTTAAGTAATTATAACAGGCATGTGCAAACATAGGAATCACTTATTTCACAAAAGATATTTCTTTTCTAAATATACTTGACGTAAATGCCAAACTTTCCTTATTTCAGTATAAACTGCCACTGCAGTATACCTCTGACACAACACAGTGCTGCTCAAACCTGCAAATACAGGTCTGTGGTGCTCATTGAAAGCCTGAACATCCTGACACTCTTTGGACACCTGCTCTGAGCACTGGAACAACTAATTGATACCTTGCAATTTTAAAAAAATTACCTGTTACTTCTTTTGAAACTAAGGCAAAAAAACATAATCCAGGAGCTTTACTATACTTCCCAGTGGACAAGCAAAATAACTTGTTTTCTAGGACTACTGATGTAGCAGTTAAGGAATAATAGAAAAATGTACATAAAAAGATAGATCACGAACAGATTATTTATGTAAGAAGAGCATCTCTGAGAATTTGTGAATATTCTAATTGTGTTTCTCATTTTAGACTTATTTTAAGTTAAAAAATTAAAAAACCAACACTGCCAAAACCCACCACTTATGTAGTTAGAAACCAGGCTGGTTCCTCAGAGTGCTTGATGGGAATTAAGGTGTATGGGAAGAGGTGACAACTCTGTAGTTTCATTATACACAGAAAGATGTTTTCTGTAGCCCATCATTTAGAGTTACACCACAGGCATTCATTTCCTTACACTGCTGTAATTCTTGCCAACATTCCCAAGATTCAGATTTGATCTTATATTCGTTTTAAAATATGCAAGTCCTACTGTCGGTTC